AAAACCCCAAAACAACCCACCTCTGTCATTTAAAATGACTGCTGTTAAGCTGTTTGAATCACCACATAGCATTATTCCAGCAAGGGTCTGGAGCAACCCAGTCAGTCTGTTGCCAGAGCTGCCGACATGTATCAATGTGGAAAGACAACAGAGCAGTTTTAAACTGGGAATAACTGCCTGTATCAATGCACAGTGGCTATCTGGATCATGGTTTAATTTTTTTTAAGCATTCTTTTAAACTTTTTTGGATTTGTATTGTTTTTTAAATATTTCCATTTGAAGAATATGGTCTTGCTCCGTGTTAGTGACTTCCCTCTTTGAAGACAGCTGGTCTTTATTGGAAGAGTAAGATCATCGTTTATGATAATGCTGCACTGCTTTGCACTATGCCTGAACGTGCACAGTGCAAAGGAAAGCGTCTTGAAGGAAGGGTGGAGGAAAAGCAGTGCTTTTAAACCTTGAGTTCCTTTACAGTGTGGATCACTGGTGGAGTAAGTATGTATGTGCTAAATATACGTACTTCACCAGGTGGTAAGTCACTTCTATCATGGCTCTGTAGATAGCCAAAAAGGAGAAGATAAATAAATAAAGCTAATAATTTTATTTTCCTCCTTTTTTATAGCAACTGCAAGATGTATTTTAACTTCAGTCAAAGTTCAGTTGTGGTTGTTGCAATTTTCTGCCATATACAATGTCTTGTGAGTTTCCTCATCATAAATGAGAATAATCTTTAGGATAAAATAGTGCTGTAGCCTGGTTAAATAGTTTATGGCTATACATAGGCACATCTTTATATGAATAAACACAGAGCTGTTCATATTGTTTGTTAAAGGACGTTCTCAGGAAGGCAAAGTGTGTCAGCCAACAAGACCTCCTTCTAAGCTGAAACTTTCTGATGTGCAGCTGGTCTCAGGTAGGATGCGTACACTTTAAGAATACATTAATGTTTATATATATATATGTATATGAGATTGGCTTCATCTTCGAAAAGCAAAAAAATCTGCTCAAGAACTGGGATCTCATATCAAAACACGTAACTGCTACCAAACCATTGTGATTGCATGCTGCTTCTTTCACTGCTTTTGGACTTCTTTGGACACTGTACTTTTATCCTTATGTTGAATCATTTATATGAAAACCTATTTTCCTTGGGCAATTACTAGGAAAGGCCATAATATAATGAACAGACTTGCACAGTGCTAAGCCAGATGATAGCATTCACCTCTGGTTAAAACCGCTTACTGATGCTCATACTTTGATTCGGCAGCACAAGTATTTACTAGTCCTGTAGAAGTAAAGAGAGTGAATTTCTACACGTGCCAAGAGCTCACACTCCAGTTCGTTTGTTAGAAACGCATGGGTTAGTGCCTAGGCAAAAACTTGAAGATCCCAAGTTACTCATCTAATCTCTGCCCTTTCTTCTGAAATGGCATAATGGGGTTCCTGCACCGTGTGCAGCCCCTTAATTATTTCACAGAGTTACTTGCAGTAAGTTTTAAGGCTCTGATGAAATCACGCATTTATTTGCTGCTTAACTAACTCGAAAGGCATGTAGTCATTACCTGGTCTCCCTTGGGAAAGCCGTAGTTCTGTTTGTAGCTGAACTTTTATGTACGGAACTGGTATCGGGGCAGTAGGGTTGGCACGGTCAGGCCTGTCAAGCCGTGCAGGCAGCCGGACAGGGCTGTGCTGCCTAATACAGAATAGCCTCAAAGAACACAGGTTGTAAAAGTATTATCAAAGTCATTAAGGGCTGGAACTTTTATGCACGTGGCATCATTTGACAGCCAGCATAAAAATGAAGTTAGAGTGGATGGTCACCTCTCCTACCATTCTTTACTGATCAGCATTTTTGAAACTTCCTTCCGAGTGCAGCATGCACTGACTCGGGCATGGGAGCTCTAGTAGTGTTAGCCCTTCACCGTGTGAAGATTGAGCACCTGGGTGGTCATTTGGTCTTCGTGGCTGTATCGCCTGTAGCTGGGGGGCAGGCCTCAGCGAGATAGCAACAAAGGAAATGCTTCAAGGAGACAGCAGGTCAGATAATTTGCCAAGGGAAGCAAAATACACTTTCCCAGTAGTTTACAAAACTATTGCGTCAAAAGGCAAGCCAACAGTAGACCTATCCTTGAGTTCATTAGCATCATGCGTCTCTGCCTCGCTAAGAGACAGAGGCTTTTTTCTTCCACTGTTTGAAAACTGTTTTTTAATTAAGAGGCATGAGCACACAGGTGTTTGGTTGCCACCTCTTCATGCAGACACGAATCTAAATTTTAAAAGAGCTTTAGCAAATAATGCTTCTTTTCGCTTAACGTTTCAGGACAACAGGTCTCCCTGTCTTCTGAAATAAAAAGGCTTTCTTTTTGAGGGCTGAGCGTCCTTTGCTTTCATAACTTGGTGACGAATGGGATAGTGATAGGAACTCTGCCCAGTTCCTTTAGAACACTACCTACTTTTATTCACCTAATAGGAGCTCAGGGAACTTTAGCCCTTACTTAAAGACAATAACATGTTTTTCATCTGCCTGCCTTTGTGCATGACAACATTACGTTTGCTGGAAAAGTTCAGAGCTGTCAGTGGCTAATGCCAGAGACTCCATTTCTGACGTCTGTGCCTGGAGTAGGTCAGAATGGACCCTTCAGTTTGCTGCCTCTCTCGCAGAAGGTACAACTGGGAAGGTGAAGAGTGCCCATCAGCCCTAGTTCTAATGTTCATACAGCTAGCGGAAAAAGCACGCCATGACACATCTGTAACAGCAGACTGACACCAAGAGCAGTTTAACTTACTGGCATAAGCAGACCAAACGCTTTGGCATGGGGACAGGCAGGAGGTAGCAGAAGGAAACGTACAAATAAGACAGGTAGGAAAGGTGTGTGCGATGGGATAGACAGACGTTGGGCAGGTGCTTTGAAACTGGCAAAAAAGGGGCCTTCATGATTGTTACACTTAAAACATTTTCAAACCAGGAAGTTGTTCCTTTTTTAATACATTTTTTATTAAATAGATGTCTTCTGTCAATTCAGTAAATGGCATTTAAAGAGGCTCTCTGCAGCAGGCCAGACAGATAAGCCCGCTTTTTTGTTTCACTGTGGACATTCAAGTGTGCTTACAAGGCTGTAAAGGAGGAGCATCTGTAATTCCTGGCATTAGAAAGCCAGCCTTAAGATGCGCTGGGTTCACCCCCTCAACGCAATGGTTGGATTTGCGCTTGGGATGACCCTGGCTAGAACAGGGCAAAGCACCAAGATGTTTGTTTGCATCCAATCTCTACAAAACTGGGAAAGGAAAACACAGATGTTATTTGCAGCACATTACAGTAAATAAAACCACTGAATGAGTCCAGACCTTCAGCCAGACTCAAAGCTGAAGCGAACGGTCAGCTGACGCTCATTTTTGCTTTCTAATAATTCAGAGCATACTCGCTTTAGCCCTGGACTAATTTCTCCTGCCTCCTAGAAATAACCCAGTAGTGAACGTTGCTAAATACTGCTCAAAATCTCTTGCTGCTCTTCAGCCTCAGCCAAGAGCACTGTGTTAGCGACTGAGCCGTCAGCCAGGAAACCTTCATTCCTTTACGAGGTTAAATCTCAAGTTAAGCTCTGTGATTACAGGCTGCATTAAACACATGCAGCAGCATTCCATGTGAGCTGCACTGGGTGCCCCAGAAACCAAACTCTATTTACAGCTAATCAAGAGTGAGCTGTCAGGAAAAAGGCATGTTCCTTTCCCCATAGATTGTTTATGAAATCGAGAACACAGTGGAGGTTAAACTTCTTTTTATCTGCTAGAGTTACTGATCAAAACCGTTTTGTTCTTTTACAGTAAACAACCTGCAGTGTGTTAATTTGCTGGAGAATATGGGAAAATCAAAGCAATTTTCATACAACATGAGACCAACCACTGCTGCAAAATCAAAAAATGCAAGACTCAAGCACTAAGCAAAACTGAATGTTTGGAATTTAAAAAGCACATTACGGTACAACTGTTATCTTTCATAATGTACAAGTCATCCACAGCGTACTAAACTTGAACACATTTTCATTTTTGTATTATCTCAGCACTACATGCCAAGCAAACTTCTAAGGAGTTGGACTCATTTTATTTTGTGTACAAATTAGGTTTTAAATGCAACTGTTAATTTATTTACTGACAGGATGAAATCTGTATTGTATTTGGAAATGGAAAATGAAGCACTAAGCCCAGCATTACAGTAGGGTTGCAGGGGCTCCCAAAGTTTTCCGTTGTCAAAAGTAGGAATTTTGAATGTGTTCCTCACACACATTTCAGTTTCAAAGGAGAGGGAAATTGTACCAAAGAGACACCTCAAATATATGAAATGTATTTCAAAATTTAAACAGGAACAGAAGAACAGCCTTCATGTTCCACTGCTGTACCAAAGAAACAAATGTTTCTTAGCTAGCTATGGATTTGGAAGGAAAAGTAGAGATGCTGACAAAGAACACTCACTAAACAAACTGCTTTCTGTAGCCTATGGAAATTGTTAGGGGTGCGTTTTCTACCCTTTGAGATTACCACCTTTTTTTTTCCGTATTAATAACTATTTTTGCACATGCACAAGAAGAGTTTCTACAGAAAGGAAGAAAAGATGGGACCAGTGTAGAAGAAAACCTGTTCTTATAGTAGCTTTGGAGCTGCCAGCATACAGTATTTACCTTGCACAAAGTATTTAAAAATATCAACTCAGCAAAAATAAAAAAATGTTACTCTAGTTTCAAAGTATATTGCTCTATTTTTTCTTCTAGTTGGTATTACATAATTCTATTTTTTTAATTAATATGATGCTTTGAAATAATAGATGATTGGAGTCAATATAAGTCTGTTTCTCTGCAAGCACTTAAGCTTCAAGGAGACTGGATTTTCCTTGATGCCCTCAGTGGTCACCACAGCTACCGAAACAACCTCCAGTAACCTCGACTCGCTCAAAAAGAAAGGCAACAGAGGTACGCAGTTCTTTGTAAAATTTTTTATTCTGTTTCACTTACAAAAAAATTGACAAGCTTTGTTCCAACATCTTCCATTCAAAACTAAATAGAAGTAAATGCTTTACAATAAATGCAGTTCGACCTCTTTAATACACCGCGTTTATAGGGCCAGGTCCCTGGGGATGAGAGGCAAGGTAGATGTTGAAACAGTAATGGAGGTCTGTTAGCCACTGCTCTTGAACTTCACCACTCTTCAGTGTCTAGAAAGAAGGGGGGAGAAAAAAAAAAAAAAGGTAAAACCATTTCACCAACTGCACTTGCAAAGCTTCGCTGTGTTTTTACAGTTTATCAGGTGCGCGGTTAAAGGTACAAGATGGCCTTGTTCACCTGCGCACAGCGACATTATTCTTCTCATTTAGACATTTCAACGCAGTAGGTCTGTTAAAGCCGCAACAGTGAAGTGTTACTACTTGGTCCACTAAGGCAGTGAATTACACCAGATGCGATTTCCTTACTCTTTAATTATAGTGGCTTGCTTACTTTCCAATTCTGCGATTTACAGTCAATTAAAATGCAAATGAGCACGGTTCTACTACAGCAGGAGAGCTCAATACCCCGGTCTACAGCAGAACTGCTACCAACAGACCAACATAGCCCATGGTCCGGTAATTCACTCTCCTTTGCATTCATAAGTGGTTAAAAAAACCCCAACCACAACAGACACAAGCCACCTGCAGCGGAGCATCACCAAAACTAGCTGAGGCATTTTCAACACCAAAGGAAACCAACCAGTTCGTTCTCTGTTAGAGAACTTGCATGATACTCTCTTACAACTGCTTTTGCCACCATGGAGGTTATGTTCCTGGTAACAGACCTTTTAAGAGCTACTAATGGATATGCGTGGCTCATTCAAACCTGTGGGACATACAAATGCTCTGCGCTCAAAACTAGTAAGAGCTTTGTGCAAGGGTAGTTTCAGATTATTTTTTTTCCAAAGAGAGAAGCAACTGTAATAGTCTCAAAACCACTGTAACGTACACATGCGAATAGAAGCGCTGGGTTTTGCAATATTTGAGAGGGAGTGTGTTTTGCACCACACATATTTAAGAGATTTTTTGTCTGATTTCATAACATCTTTATACACCTATAAACAGAAAAGACTAGTTTCTTATTTTGGGACAGCTCTCCCTCAGACAGGCTGTGCAGGTAATCTGCTTCCAGCACATTTTGTTAGGAAAGCCAACTGTTGTCCAGGGCTGCTGGATCGGTTGCAAGCTGAACTTCAGAACCATCTCACCTGTGCCGTGACCACAGGAGCTCGGACAAGCAGCAGCCTTCTACACAGCCTGGACTTCCAAGACAAATAAAAGACAATCATAACTTGTGTTTTGCTAAACATCTGTTCTTCGTGTTTGCAGTAATTTTTGAACCTCATATACCCTTGTAATCTGTGGGAGACAAGAAGAAGTTCCATACCATGATGTCCTTGATAATCTGTTGCACCAGAAATTCATTTGTGATCATATGGCTCCTGAGCTGGCCATGTTGCATCAGTAAGCGAAGCAACTGAGCAACAACGGGCAGTTCTTCCCGGCAGATCCTGCTCACTTGCAGACTTTGCAGCATCAGTCTCAGTAATCGTGGCAGGAGTGCTAATGCAGAAATACATGATCCCCACAGCATATCCCTGAGAGGAAAAGAGAACAAGAATTGAAATGAGGATCGAGGACACGTATTTCAAGTATGCTTCTGTGAACTAGCCTCATGGCTGTACAGGGAAACATGCCCCTCTGAATTCAATCGAGCCAACTGCCTTCACCGTGATTGGTGCCAAAGCAGAAAATTTGTACCAGAAAACACTAAACTTGAAAATATTCTCAAATTACGTAGAGCACTGGGGAAAAAAAAAAAAAAATATCTTAAGGTCCTGTGCCCTGGAGCTACAAATGTTGCTGAAGCTCTTACACAGTGTAACTTCTGCTTGAGGCAGCTAGGAAGGGGGTTTTGTTTCAGTCACTGCTCAGGTACATCTGGATCTTTAAGACTCATAAAAAGTCAAACAATGGAATTGGCTTTTTGTGATATGCAAGTCATTACATCCAGTAAGTGAAGGAGGACCCCGGCTTTAAAAATACATCTTAAATTTTAAGTAAGCTTTGAAGAACTTTCCTGTATATGGAACAGCTAGAGGAAAAAATCTGAAGTTTAAATTGTTTAAAGGCATTTCTGTTATACAGGTATGAATCTGGTATCTGTAGCTTTTGGGTTGTTGGGGTTTTTTTGGTTTTGGGGTTTTTTTTGTTTGTGGTTTTTTTTTTTTTCTTTTTTAAATCAAATGGATTTGCAGTCTATAAAGTGATGCCTGAGAAGTTTTGTTAAAGCTGAAATACCAAGTCAGTTAAGAGTACAAACTTTTAAAGCCAAATCCTTTGAATGTTGCTTTTCAATGTACCTAATGAAACTGAAGGCTAAAGCTAAATATTTAAGGTATAAATACCCACCTTCCTGAAGTCAGGATGGTTCTGACATCTAACTAGAACAACCTGAGGTGAAACCTGCTTCAGTTATTGTTTTAAATAATTCCAGCTAACTCTGCAGCTGTTCTTCTTAAATCCAAGTACTGTTTCGAAGTAAGCAAAAGACAGACAGCAAAATAAATTGGGGGGATATAGGGAGAGAGTTCCTTTCACTTCACTTGTGGGTATAAAGGCAGAGACAATTCGCATGGTAAGAAAAGCAGTGTTACCTTTTCTGTACATGTTCTGCATCCTCTTTGTCTAAAGTTAGCAGAAAGTACAGAAGACTGTAACAACAAGAGGCTAAGAACTTGTGCAGGTTTTCACTTAGGATGCAAGCTTGATCCAAGAGCTTATTTATGGCACATAGAACAGATCCAGCTGTGCTATCAGGTATTACAACCAATCCAACCTGTATTAAAACAAAAGAAAAAACCAAGTTCATCACTGTATACACAAGTTTTTTTCTGGTGTATAAGCATGTCTAGAGCTGAATGAATCTCCTTCATATCATGACATATATTTCTTTCCATGCAAGTTCTGCGTTTTCAAATCCCTACCTTCCTAAGAAATTGTCACCCATACCAACAGAAGGTTAAACCGGCACCTTCATTCCATCCCCTCTAAATAAACACTCATCTCAAACATATTAAAAAAAAAAAACCCAAAACATCACTGCTTTGAGCCCTGCTCTGAAAGATGGTACAGGCACAAACAGAATCTTTTGGACAGAACAGGTCTTTCCTTTTAAGCATATATCATGGGACAGAGCAGCCCTTCCGTGTCTTGAAACGTCTGTGAGCAGTCACTGAGGTAGAAGGAAACTCGGATTTACTCTCCAGAAAAAAAAAGCTACTGGATCGTCATTGGGGTGAGTCTCCTTAGAATCTGACAGGCATGAGGGCATTAGGAGCAGAGAAAGCTTACGACACATATGGTGGGCCCACAGCTGGGGGTGATACTCTTCTGTTGTTAAAATGAGAACATCATCTTGAGTAAGCATTTTCTAGGCATGATAAATAATTTAGAAAAAATTATTTTTTGGGTAGAGGCAGTGAATTAGCAGTCTAAATTTTGAAGTGCTACTGAGTAACTATCTTAGATTTTTGCCCTGTAAAGCAGTAAAAAGATTCATGCACTGCTAATGTGGCACCATTTATCTTGTCAAAAAACTAATTTAAGGAGGTTTAGAGTAGCCTAATTTGCTCACCTGCAAGTACATTGTTTTAAGCTGACAGAGGCAGTTGGTTCACTTAACAAGGTCAGCTGTTTCTTTTAGAAATGTTTAGAAAAAGATCAATAAAGCACAAGCTACAGAAATGTGGAATGTATTTCATTGGTATGATTACTCATGAGAGGTAAAAGGTAAAGAACAGTGATGGGTTCAAACTTTCAAATACTTCCAACACAAGACACTAGGGGTATTTCAAGGCCACGAGGGCAGATCGCTGTCCCAAGCTGACCCTTGCACCAGCCCCTTGCTGAGGTAGGAGAAGGATGGTGTTCCTGCATGACAGAAGATAAGACTGCAACTGTCACCAGGACCCTGCTGAATACTACAGGATATTGAGGTGCTAAATAATAAAAACTATTAATGATGCTCCTGACCAACCACAAATAGGGAATAACAATAGCGAGCTCGACTGATGTCTGCAATATAAAGCGTCCTGAAGATCAAATTAGCCACCACTGCTGATGAAACATGCCAGTCAGCCAGTCTGGAAGATGATGTGAACACAGACATTTTGATTTATACAAATACAGTAGATGAGACTGCTCAAACAAGTTTCCATGTTTGCCTACACGGTGCCTTTCTTCCCTGTTAGGTGTCATCATCCAGTTAGAGACCTTAGGCAGCAATCTAATCGACTATAAAAATCCACTTAACTGTTTGCTCTCAGAGACAGAGTGCAGTAGAACGCATAAACTGATTAAAAAGTTGTGATTTCAGTCAACACCCATCCCCAAAAATCCAGACTACAGTTACAGGTGAGCCACTCCCTGCAGCCGCTTTGGTCCAGTCATTTTTCAGTAGGCCTCCATACAGGGAACTGCGGATACTTGTCAGATCACAGAACTATCTCCAGAGGAGGACAGACAGGTCCTCCCTCTCAGCAGGCAACATCACAGGTAACTGCAAATTCTGTCCCTTACAACTCTGTTACCCAGCTCAGGGAGTGTTCAGGATTAGACAACGACAGACTGTAAAACTCATCTAGAGCCGCTAGTCGCTCTTTTGAAAAGCAAACCAAACCAAGAAACCTTTAATTTATGGCTGTCCTGGCTTGAAAACAAGCTGAACTATTCACAAATCAGAGCAAAAAAATCCATGTAAATTTGGATGCCAACAGTTACTAGATTTTTTTTTTTTTACTCCAGCACTTGTCTTGTTGAAAATTTTTGCAAATGTTGAAATTAAACGTGAAATATATGGAGTAAGTGGATTTGAGGGTTAATGAGACCATTATGAGGTTTATCACAAGGAAGCCTACACAGAAGAGAAAACGTTACTTACCAGATATTTACAGATGCCAGTCTGGAGAATGTCAAAACACTGACTTTGTGAAGGTACAGTGGACAAGCTGTGACAGATCATCTGTTTAAATAAAACAAAGTTATATTTGAGTACTCCAATGCAACCAGCAACCATTCACTGTGTAGTCATACTTTGTTGACAGACGTAAATACAAAGTACCTATGGGGACACATACCAGCTTTGTCTCAAAGTATTGATTCTTTACAGTGTATAAGAGCAACACTGTCAACATAAACTGTTCAGTGTTTAAAGGGATGACGGGCTATACCATTAGTTTTTTTGGTAGTGGCTTTATTTTACCTATGTTGTAGAAGACCAAAAATATTCTATCCAGCTACAGCGCCAGACCGAGCCTCCACGTGCTTTTCCTCACAGCTGAACACTTTTAGAAAACAACTTCCCAAATAACATATCAGGCATATATTATGTTATGAAACATAAGAATCACAACCAAACAGGACAGAAAAAGAATACAACAAAAGAATAAAGTAGCAAAGATCCATTTCCAACTTATTTTCCTCTTCACCGCCAAAAAGGTCATGTTCAAAGATGATATGAAATGTACTACTACAAAGGGAAATCTTATTTTATGAACTGCCAAAAACTTTCCGGTGCTTATATAATCAGGCATTAGCAAACACTATTGGCTACCCAGAGGCATGACAGAAAGAGGGTTATTTTTTAAAAAGAGTGAACTGAAGACTCAGATCTTCCATTTTTTAGTAAAACACATGACTAAGAATGGCCAGGGAGGGGAGGAAGAATAGAGAGGAGGAAAAAAGGAAAGAAGAAAAAAAAAAAAAGAAAAAGAGTTGACCAAGATCCCATGAAATGCTGTGCAGCTGCTGGGTAGGATGAAGAAACCAGAGCTCTGGTAGATCTGCTGGTAAGCTGCACTGCAATCCTTGGCAGATGGCTTTCTCAGTTCTTCTTTTCCTTCCCATCTATCTTCTGATAATTTGCAAACTGGTCAAGAGAGCTTGGACGTGTGCTCAGCTTTTTTCAAAATTAGATGCCACACATGCTTTTTAGCCCTGCTTAAGCTGCCCAGGTTCAGGAGATCCGTAACACATCTGCTTGATGGAACATAATCCTGTCAGGACATTGCTCATGTTAATCAGTATTACAGGTGTAATTGTGCAAGTATTTTGTTTGACTAGTAGGACGATTTAAAAGACAATTTAATAGATACTCTTGCACTGAATACCCTTATTTTTGACACTATAAATTTATTTAATAATGAAATAATATCATTAAAACTGTGTGCTCCATCCTAGATATGGTAGTGCTTCTGTACACTGCAATTTGAAAGAGATAAAATATGAAGTGCTCTGGAATATTCCCAAGAAACTCACTCAAAACATTTGTGGATTAGCAGTGTCAAGGAATAAAGTCAAGCTGAGACAGAGGTTACTACTGGGGATTGTCATGTCAAGGACAAACTCTGACACCCATCTGACTGAGTATTTTAATGAGTAACACTTACATAAAAGGTAAAGCTACATTGATGAAATCTGTTGGCTGACAGCTCAAAGTTGAAAAACACTGCCACGACAGGAGGACTGTACTAACCTACAGAAAAGATCGCGTGGGTTTGATGAATAACAGATGCAGAAAAAAATAAAATAAAATAAAATCGGTGAACAAAAGTGTCGGGTCATGCGCTTGGAGACTAATAAAGACTTCTGCATGCAGCCAGGAGTTTGAACAGTTGGAAACGGGGAGGAAATTCTGTGCGTAACAACCGATCACAAGGTGGTTGTGATACAGCCATGAAACAGGCAAATGCCACTTTAGGATGGAAAAATAAAGATAATCACAACAGAAGTGACCAGACAGTACTGATCGTCTGTTCAATACTACGCCATAAAACCCTAGACTATTTCTGACATACTATGCAAAACAGGAGTCACTCATTTCCAAGGAAGGTAAATTCAAACTGGACGAGCATAGAAAAATTGCACGAATAGAGATCCTGTCTTACAGGTGTCAACGGAAAGAACGTAACCCACCTAGGCTGGCAAAACTATATATACACCTAAGAAAGCATATTCGTCACATACAAATACAACAAAGAGGTGAAAAAAGCTGCAGCAAAACAAATATAACCAAACAGCCACAAAAAATAACGATGAACATAGCGGGCTGGGAATGCAGATGAGGTGGAAATTAGGAAGGATGATTATGAAAGGGGAAACGCAGGAAACATTTGTTGCTCATAAGACAGAGCTCGGGAAGTTTACAAACAAGGTATGCCCCATGCTTGTGAGCACACGATACGAGACACAGAGAGCTGGGGAGAGCCCTTCTAGTTCAATACACACCCATGTGAGGTCAACAAATTAAAGACCTTCAAGGCAAATCCACCAGGCCCACCCCGCAAACTAAGGTTGCATTAGTAATAAAACGATTATTAACATTTCACCCTTAGGACTACGTCCCGAGAACAGGCCTACCAGTCCACCAAGGTTCTCCCCGAGGTGACAAGTTGCACGAGCATTTCATAAGGGGTACAATTCACCGACAATCGTGCATCATAGAATCATTTGGTTGGAAAAGACCTTTAAGATCATCGAGTCCAACCATACCTGTCCACTACTAAACCAGGTCACTAAGCACTTCATCCACCCATCTTTTAAATACCTCCAGGGATGGGGACTCAACCACATCCCTGGGTAGCCCATTCCAGTGCCTGAGAGAGGTACTAAGAGAGGCTGGAGAACTTCAGAAGATAAAATTGCTCATACCACTGAAAAGCAGCATACTTGCTTAGAAGGCTGGTGGTAAAGTGCATTAGCAAGTTCGTTTTTCAACCTTTTAGATCTTTCTGACCCTCAAAATAGCACAACCATTCCCTACATCCAGTTCTATTTTCCTGCGATTAAGAGGGAGTGGCAATCCTTTTCAGTTCCATAAATTAAATCCTGCCTGAAATGGCTTTCATAACAAATGCCTGTTATAAAAAGCGAAACTGAAACGTTATTAGGCATGGAAATGAAAAGCAAAGAAAACTTAATTATCACATGAAAATTAGTATTTTTCCTGACAATTTTCCTTAGGCAAGGGTCCACATGATGTTTCATTTTCATAATAAAATGTCATAGCTGATTCATTATTTTACATTTGATTAGCATTTATCACATTTTTGGTGCATTCACAGATTGGTTTTGGACTAAAGCCAGAATAGTTTTGCTTCAGATATTACTGAAGTGAATGGACAGAGAATAAGCACTTCTGATTGTGGGGGGGGTATACCTTTTTATAAGAGGTTTGGTTTAGGTTTAGAGGTTTTGAGATTTTCGGGGGTTTTTTTCTTTTTAATTTTGTATGAATATCCACTTCAGTAAATTAAGCCAGAGAAAAGCATTCTCTTACATACGAGGATTAACTGGTAACATTACGCAGCAAATACTATAGGCTTTGTAATCTGTTGGCAGCTTTTCAAACCAAACTTTATTGATCAGACAAGCCCAACTACCCATCATACTAATGAGCCACAGAACTGCAACAGCAGGTTCCTCACTAGAGCTTCAGGAAATCATTACCACACAAGCCTCCTTGCTGGCCATACTGAAGATGTACTCCAACAGCAGACAGGTAAAATGATGTAGAGAGGGGGTGGGGGGGGGGGGGGGGGAAAGGCCAGGAATGGAGCCCAAGAGCACTCCCTGGGCTTTTTTCGGAGATCCTCACACCATGGAGTATTTTACTCTAGTCTTCAACTGGAGGAGTTAAAAGCATTTTTGCTGCCGACAGCCAACCTAGCTGACTCTTAATCCAATCCCGAACAGGCTTTTACATAGCTCTAATGTACAGTCAGGGGAATCCATCAGTTTAATATTGCTTATCTGTAAGATGCTCTCCACTCCAAAAGGCAGAGTTGGGAGGAACCGAGGAAGCCCAGTCTCAGACTGAGCCCTCATTGCAACAGGAACACACGTTAAGTGATGAACTGAGAGTAATGTTTTGCTCATTATTTAACTGTTCCCACTCCCTAAATCACTGGATGCTTCCCGTAATGTGATAGATTCCTGACTCAAAAAGCCACAAGGGAAATATTTTATCAGGAACTCTCCAGGGGAAATCTGCATATAATTCAAGCTTAACCATGCTGCAAAGTACTCTCTTTTTCAAAGAAAAATACTCACCGTCCTCTGAAGATGCACACAAGCACGAGCACAGAGAGAAACCAAGCAAGCAGAAAAAATAATGGATCAAGTATTTTAGTGAGCCACTATGTGGAGTCAGACCAAAGGTAGTTTTATTAAAAAAGAGAAAGTTGGCACACACCATACACTATATCCTAATGTGAACTTTAAAATGTATTTTTCATTCACATCGACATCCACCTCAAACACGGGTAACTCAAATGTAGCAGGCTGTTCTGCAGTCAATTCCCAAGCTCTTCTGAAATGACTGTTTCAAGCAGGACTCTATCCAGTATAACATGTTACTGCAGAGCGTAGAAAATGAGAAGTTTTCAGGTGATGGGGCAGGCAATGAAGCTTGTTGTCTAAAGCTTGGCCAGCTTCCCCCGAAGCACCCTAGCTTATCAGGCAGTGTACTCCCTTGACAGGTGCTGCTTCTCTTTCTGAAATAAATTGATTTGACAGGGCAATATTAACAGTGCCCTGAGTTGTTGAGAAAGCTGCGTACAACAAGAGATCTTTGTTCATCTGCCTTGGCTAAGCTCACAGGGGCGGATGTGAAAGGTATTCCTGATTCAGTGACTCCAGAAAAAAAAAAAAGAAAAGCAACACAAACCCCCACACACAATCAAAATAAACAAAACAAAACCTAGGTTAAAAGAAAAAGCCAAAAAGAAGGAACGGAACCTGCAGAGAACAATACATAGGAGGGCAACAAGGGGAAAAAAACCCCACAATACCATGGGGCTAATTTTACATACAGCATAGCACAACAGGAATTGCAAATGCTTAAGAAAATGTACTGCATCCCACATCTTGATGGAGGACGTATTTCCAAAGACTTAGGATTATGAAAGGTAATTGCTGGATCAGAAACAGAGTAAACTACCCATACAAACTTATCTTGCATCT